AACGGATCATATTGAGCCATGTGTCAAGCTCTTGAAAGAGAGGATTTGAATTTGCCAAGTGTCACTCCTCAAATGGAGAGGATTTTGACTTTGATAATTAAATTCTTTTGGATTTTTGTTAATTAAGAAAGAGAAATCAAGATTAAGGGGGTTAATGACACTTGGACTCTCATTAAAGATGGTGGTTAAGATATTTTGAACCATTAAACAAGCTCATCCTCCCCCTATTTTCAGATGTTGGTTCAGCCAAGGAGGAAAGGGAGAGAAAAGAGAGAGCTTTGAGAGAAGAACAAGAGAAAGCTTGCATCTTTGGTCATACAATCAAGGTTCAAGGTGAGTTCTTGGCTCTAGATGTGTTCTTGCCTTGTTTTCTTTCTCTTCTATGGTTGAAAAATCTGTCTCCTCTCTCTTTTTATGCTGACCGAACTGATTATTTAAAAGGGGAAGGGAGTTTTGTTCATCAACTTGTTAAAACACAACAACACAAGCTAGTTCCTAGTGTTTGCAAGTGATTATAGGTTGTTTTAAAGCATTTTTCATGGTTGTTTCTTTGAGTATTATTTTTGACCAAGCTAATGACTGAACCCTAGGATGAGTTTTTCAATGTTTTAAGGCTTTCATGATGCTTAAAATGAGAAATGGTGTAGGATAAACCAAAAGGAACAAGTGTTGGAAGCTTTAAGACAAAGTTGTAAATTTTTGGGTCAAAACCCTCTTTGGTTCGGTCAAGGGTAGCTGAAAGAAAGAGATTTATTTTCCTAGATCTAAGCACATATTTGGAATCTATATGAAAAACCATGTAGGAATGGGTCAAGAAGCAATTTTTTGGGTTAAAGAGAAACAAGTCCAAAAATGGTGAACAAAGGAGGGAGCTTTAAGGAGCAAGAGTCATTTTTATTTATGTTCTTACTTTTTCTTGGTTAGTTAATGATTCTTGCTGCCCTTTTTGATGGATTGCATTGTTAGGGTTTGATATTTGTGAAGGAAAAGAGGAGAAGGAAAGAAAGCTAAAGCTTTTGGAGCAAGGTAGCAAGTTAAACCTAGCTACTAATACTAACTTAGCATTATTGATTATTGCATGATTAATTGCTATTATGTGGTTGGACTTTCTTGATTATAATGTGGCTGCTCTTTGTACTTTTTTGCTTTGGCCTTTGCATGATTGAGTTTGTCGAATGATAAGCATGCTAGTTCACCAATAGTAGTTAATATAATTGTGCATGTTGATGATGCTTATTGGTGTTATAGTTGGTTAATTTGCTATTGGGATTTCAATGAAATCTCATTCCACAAATCCAACCTAACATTTTAGGGCCTGAATCCTCCAAGGGAAAGCTGCAGATTGAAGGCTAATTTGTAGGGTTTAGCCACAAAATTCGTGAACTCATTTTGGTTATGTACATACTATACTAACAGTGCTGTAAGCACACTGACACTGTCTGGTTCACGTGACTTTTTGATTATGCTACTGAACGCGTTTATCACGAAAATTGGCATAATGAAAGATAACGTCTTGAGCTTCAATTTGATGGCTAATACATTAAAAATGGCCCAGTATACGATTTATAATGATTTTTCAAAGTTAAAGGTCAGAATCTGGGAAAAAGGGTTTCCTTGAAAGAGGACTTAAAGAGCTTTAAGTAGAATTTTGAACCACCCCAATTGGATTTTTGTGGAATAAGTTATGAATTTTTGAAGTTGGGCCAAAAGAACTGGATTTTTACTCGATGAACAGTAAAAATCCGAAATTTAGCGTTTTTATGGTAAAAAGTGAGCCCAAGACCATCAAATGTGGTCTAAAATGGTTTTGAAAGGAACCTAAGTCAATATAATAGTAAGGTGTGACAGGTAGAGGTAGTGCTTGCTAACGGTTGGAAGTCTTCCTTGGAAACAATTTCATACACTGCAAACCGTCCATTCTTCCTCTTCCTTATTGTTGGGTTCATTACAGATGAAGACATTTCCTTTCCACCTTATATGTGGCTTCACACCTTAATGTTGTTCCCTTATATCTGAAACAATATATGACAGCTATATGATAAGTTAGCAAGTATAGTGAGGTACACTTATTCAGAATAACCAAATAGTACATGAGAGTGACAGAACATACACACATACCTATACTATGTTTAAGTATATCATTGCTTGATTGATTAACAAAATTATGTTAAAGTCGTTACTAATGAATCGTTCGTAATGAAACAGGCGAGATTGTTACCCATTTACTTTCCACTCCTTGCATGAAAACTCAAAGCACAAGTATTGATAATATACATTAGCAGTTTAACATGAGCAATAGGCTTGTCATTTTATCATTTTAATCTATCTACAAAACATCAAAAATCATATAATACATATGTTTGGAAGCTGAAGTTAGCTCACTTAATCAGCCATCTTATCACATTGTAAAGACATCAATTTTCACGTATTTTAAGCTGACATAGCTGTAATAAATATTATAATATATCTCATATAATAAATAATATGGTGATACATATATATATACACATATATATAAATCAAATGATATTATCCTTTCATTAAATTGCTGCTATCCTTTTTGCTTTTTAGAAATATCTTTATTGAAATTATCCTTACGTTAACAATCTTACAAGCTGTCTCTTCATTGCTGTTACATTAATCACTTAATTATCAATATATATACCATGAATACATAAATCATATAAATTGAATTAACTAAATCTTATTGTACTTAAATGATTTCAGCATAATGTAATAACAAAACAAAGTGTATGATTTGTAATTCTTTTTATCCAATAGTGAGATAGACTACATTGCCTATCTGTAATTATTAATCATTGATTAAATATAATGTTAAGCTACAATATGTCTAAAATGGATCAACATTAAAATAAAGCTCAAACGTAGATCATACTAATTGATTAAAAAACCATACAACAGGAACAATGCTTAATAAGAACACACTGGAAATAAAAGCACCATGTGACTAACAAAGCACATAGAACAACTGACAACAACATAACCAGAACAAAATGACCCCTTAAAAGCAACACAACTGGTTTCCAACTATATGAAGGGGTTTACTTCTCCTCCTTCACAACTTTCAAAATTCTGTCAGAGTAACTAGACGAGGATGCAAAGTGTAAAGAACCTAACCTCAAAACACTTTAGCTCATCACAAAAAAAACCACTACTATGGTAGAAAAGGAAAGCTGTTACAACAAACTACCATAGTAGAAAGAAATTTGCCCAACTTTAGAAATTAGCATTTACACTCGGTTCAAATTCGAACTCTGTTGCATGCAACTAACATCATTCATTAAACATCAATCATTCACAACCACTGGGCCTCCGAGTCTCCGGCCCGGGTAACAACAGACATCAAAATCAGCCCATCCAATTAATTTTCAACCATGTATAACAAAGTCTCACAAAGCAATAAGAATGGCCTCCGGCCAACTAAAATAAGGAGAAAACATTTCCCCAATTTACAACAAGGCCGGGTAATCAAAATATTTCAAAAGGACCCTAATTGTGGCAATATACAACATATTCATACATAAACAAAGGCTAGAGGCCTAAAGCTAACCAAGCTTAAGCCTCTGCGTCTCTTCCCGAAGGTGCACGCCTGGAACCTTCACCTGAAAACATTGTAAACCACGGGGTGAGACAAAGTCCCAGTAACTAACCTTTCCAATACTAGGTACTACTAAATAGGTGCTCGTGAGGTGTCAAGTGGGGCAGTTCACGAGTAATATAATAACAAGATAGCCACAATAAATCATGCGAGTGAAATGATGCAAATCCCCTTAACCAAATCCCTCACTTTGGGGGATTTTCAAGAGCCGAAGCCGGCCTATCCCTCACTATGGGGGACGTAGAGAGCCATAAAAGGCCTATCCCTCACTCTGGGGGACGTAGGGAGCCAAAAGGTCTATCCCTCACTATGGGGGACGTACTAAGCCAACCATCATGCATTAATGGAGGCCTTACCACATGGTAGTAACAGACAAAACTCTCACCAATTCCCAATTAATGCATCATGCTCAAATCATAATCAAAGAGTAATAATCATTTCACAATTAACCTCATTCAGTGGCATATCTTTCACAATACCAAAATTCATTCATCATTAGTTGAAACCCCACAAAACGGTTTTCCTTTTTATACACAACATACAGTTTGAACATAATTACTACTTAGAGCACAAAACATAAATCTACTCACAATACCACAGAAGCAAGTACTAAGGATTGGAAAGTGGTTACCTCTCGCCTGAGCAAGGAATAACAAACTGACAATGTGGCCCCGTGCACCACCACGACTCATAACCAGTTTGAGGTAATGGATCCTTAGAAATGCCCCCTCCAAGCCAAAAGTTCAAAACCCTAGCAGAGCTCCTCTCTCCTCCTTCAGATTTTCTTATTTTCGCACGCTGAACCCTCCCGCAACTATATAGATTCGGGACCTTTCGCCGCGGCGAACTAATCCCGAGAGGGATTACTCGCCTGAAAACCAGACTTTGCCGCGGCGAACTCCAATCTTCGCCGCAGCGAAAGATTCCTGAGAGGAAACTCTCGCTCGCCCAGAAAAACTTCACCGCGGCATGCCCTTACCTTCGCCACGGCGAAACCTTCCCGAAAGGGAAGCCTCATTCACCTGAACAACTTCGTCGCGGCATCCCCTAGACTTCGCCGCGGCCAAACCTTCCCGAGAAGACACTCCCCTTTGAAACTCCCGGTGTGCCGCGGCGAACATACCCTGAGAGGGGTACGTTCATCTATTCCTCCAACAAACCTCAAATTCAACCCAAACACCAAGATCAAGATTAAATCATTAATCTATCCTCAAAATCAACCCAAAAGAGGCTATTAAAACCCGATAAGACTTAGGATGTTACACAAAGTTCGTACTCTTGTGTAGTTTTGATGGCCCAGGCCCAATAACTCTCTTGTTATAGCTCTTCCTTTTTCCTTTGTTTAAAGGGGCCGTCAGTACCTCAGACAACTAGGATAAGGTCATGTCCCCATCAGGGTTTGCTTGACTTCCTTCAATGTTCTATTAAGAAGAACCACAATTTTTTTCCACATTGTTTGCCTTATGGGGAGTTCAGACGGAACAACATTTTCAGCTTCTCTATGACCCTCATCTTCATTATATTCCACACCATCTTCTACATCCTCATTCACATTGACCTATAACAAAGAAAAAAACTTTAATAAGCACACTTTCTCTGTACATCGTCATGAGATTAGGTTAAAGAATATAGTGAAACTAACCTCAGTTGTATTGTTGTCATTAGCCACATCATTCTATAAAGAGGAAGAACAGGCCAAAATTATTTCAACATTAACATTTCAATTTAATCATCAAAATCTGATATAAACAATTTATATTAAATCATTTAATTTAACCATATTTTAAGATAAAGATAATAGATATTAATATATACCTCATTCAGTACGTCAAGAAACTAATTCATAAGGTCTTCACAGACAGTGTATTGCAAAGCACTGATGCTAGAAGAAGGATACCTCTTGTTATAGTCATTTAGTTTCAACTTCAGTATCATTATTTTCCCCACCAGTTCATCTAACTAGCAAGGGAAATCAAATGCACAGTTGTCCTGAATTATATACAACATTAAATTAAACTTCATAATATACTGCATAATTAAATGAATGTCTGCAAATCATACATAAAAGAAATCATTGAGCACCTTTTCCAGAGTAACTTTCATCTTTGCAGCATTGTTGTTGAAGAGCTGAACAGCTAACTTGTCCTAAAAAATGACAGAAGCTTTCCCTGTTTCATCCTCAACCACATAATAGACCTTCAACCCGAATGGTATGCATGAATAAAAAAATTAGTCATGTTATTAATACAAACATCTGAATCAATTCATGACCATTGCCTTATAGTAACAACACATCATCATACTTGGGCTCAAGCGCTTCAAGTATCTTCTTGCATGTAAGGCCGTAAACATTAGCATCTTCTAACTTGGGCTTGCTAGAACACTTAGAGCAACCATCGTATGTCCAACCATGACGAGTCTCTAACTTCATAACAACACAGGATATCATGAAAGGCTCATCCTAATAAAGAACCACATAAACATCAGCACATACCAATATTAAAAGTCAACCACATTAGGTATCTGATATCTCACCGTCCTTTGGTTTTTAAGCTCAGCTATATCTATCCTTCTGTTATTACGTAGGATGCTGTCAACTGAAGGTTGGCCTGACTGAGTAGGTATTGGTTGGGTCAGGCATGTCATCACAGGGGACGCTTTCTCCTTAGCACTATAGCAGTGGAAAAAACAGTTAAGTATATGATACCATGAACGAAATACATTGTCAGTAAAAGATTAAGCATCATACATCTCAATGAAGTCGTCCACATCTGGCAAAGGAGGGTTGAATAAGACCCTAGTTGCAGTGAAAGAGCTACAAATCTGGGGTTGTCCTATAATCAATAAATATTAAGCACTAATATAGTTCATCAATCAAGAAAAATTTTCCACCATATTTAATCGTCATTTAATTAAATCAGTCAAACATCACTGGAAACTAACCATCTTTAACAAACCCAACCCTAGTAAGATTAAGCACCACAACAATCGGGGTATCCCTATTCTACAGATAAGAACTATATGCAACCATTGAGCACTCATCAAATAGCACACACTCAACTTCATTCTCCCTAGAAATAAGATAACAATTTGTAATATTTTGGTGGATATATTTAAGATACATAAACTGTATAATAAGAATACTAATACTAATTGATACAGAATAAAAAGTTAGAATCATTTACTCATTGTCCACCAAAACCATGCGTATCTTATGAGCATCTATGTCTCCTTTCCTATACTCCTCCAAAGACCCAATTGATTGAACAAATGCTATCACATCTGCATTTATTTAAGAGACAGCATCTTAATAAACAAAGCATCGCATCATGAAATGATTGACCATGAGTATATAACAGTATCCAACAAAAAATACTACCAATCAGGTGATCTATATATTTATTCTCATAGCAGTTCAAAATCTCAGTAATAGGAGTGAAACTATATCCATGAGTTGGTAATGGTCATTCCTCCTCTCTCATGTAAGTTTGTTGTGTGAACGTGATCTTGAAAGGACTATTAGTCCCCCCTATATTGATTCAAGTTGGCAGATACTTCAAAGTTAGCAAAGAAGTATACTCGGCCTTTGACTGGAGTCTCCATAAACTGGTTAAGCAATGTCCTGTTGAGAACACTTGCCTGGATCCTGTTCCCCTGATAACACAACCAAATCGTAAACCTATAATGGTTTTATATATGGGAAACTTGTATAGATTAGATAAATAAAACAGAAAGTAAATACGTCCTTCATATTTTTTCAGTCACTAACCTCAGCATCGACTAGTATCATGGTTATGCAAAAGATTTCCGTTGGTGATGACTTTTGGTACACACTCCATTTTCTAAAAACCTAGGTAATGATTCTCTACCTATCAGTCTCTTCATTCAGGTCCGTCAACAATGAGCCATGAGACATGATTTCTTAGGAAGAATATGGATCAGTAAGAAAGATTTCAATGTATGATGAGCAAATAGATGATAACACATGGCTATTTATATAGGCAACCTTTGTTTGCACCATCTATTTAATCTTAATCCTTTGTTATCATAAGACTTAATATGTCAATCTTCTCTTAGAGTTTTTCCTATCTTTCATCGCGTCAATAAACCATGCTTAATCATTACCTATATAAATGAAAAACAAAACACTTCTCCATATTAAGCTTCACAAGATTTAACAATCTGAATAGTCATGTCTTCATATCACCTGTCATTTTCACTAATTAATATATCACTGATCAGTCAATGTAGTTAACCCATCATATAAGATAAACTGTAACACCAGTCAGAATTGATATTATCATAAAATATATATCCTTCCCTTATTCTTTATATGATGCATATGCTGACCTCTAACTGGACCAAAATCTGACAAAATTAATAACTTGCACACAATTGTATATCTTTCATAAACTTATCAGAACAAATAAATAGTCCATAATGCCCTACACCTCATACATCGTTTATTATAATTGCATATATGTCACCTCTTACTTACGACTCACTACAGAAAAAGTTGAAAATGAAAATATCAGTAGGGCCATATAAGACGGCAGACTATTTCTATCAAATTTAAGAGCCTGGGAAGTTATATGGTTTGATGGTTATTGTCCATCCAACTGAAATATATTCAAACCATATATGCTATGTATGCCTTTTATCGACAGACATTTACGTGTAAGTCAACTTAAATTGATGAAGACTAGAGCTGGGAATGCGGGCTGGCGGTGCGGATACGGGCCAGCCCGCAGCGGTGCGGGCCAAAAGCGGTGTGGGCTGAAGTAGCCCGCACTTTGGCGGGCTGGCAAAACCGCCTAACTTTTTTTTTTAAAAAAAAATATTATTTGTATAAGTTTGGGCTTAGTTTGTAATGTTAAAATTGGACTTGGAGTTTTAAACTTGAGTAATGAGTTATAATAAAATAATGTGAGGATTAATTTATAATTTGAGAAGATATTTTAGAAAAACTAACACATATTTTTTTCTAAATAATTAATTTGACTATTTTTCTTATCCAAATTAATTAAGTAGATCTTTTATGTATGTATTATATATGCAATTACATGGATGAGAAGATGTAAATATGAAATTTGGGAGTTAAAATCCTTCAATTATATTGTATAACATATTAGAAATTATATAAAAATTAAAATTTAAAAAAAAAAACAAAAAGCGGGCTAGCCCGCGGCGGAGCGGGTTGAAAGCGGTGCGGGCTGGAGTAGCCCGCACCTTGGCGGGCTGGCATTTTGCCAACCCAAGCCCGCCATTTTTGGCGGGCTGGCGGGCTGGGCCCGCGGGCCCAGCCCGTATTACCAGCTCTAATGAAGACATAAATGATATACACAAAAAGTGTACCTGCTGTCTACAGTAGTGATAATGTTCTATTATGAGCTCTTTAAAAATGATGCAACATCATCATATGATGGTATCAACTAAATAGTCAAGTGACAGCATAAAACCTAAAAAGCACAAGACACTAAAATGGAAATGTAGTTAACCAATGATATAAAGTATCAAGTTCATTGTCCATGTAGACATGGTGTCAGATGGTGAAAGTATATTGGTAATACAAATATTACAAGACAAAACTTCTTTTATTCTGCATTCTGCAATCTCTTGATAAATTTTCCCACTTCACACTCCACAATATTTCCATCCTTTAATATGCATGCATAATATTCTGTCATTCTTAATTTCAAATAAACTTCAAATAATAAACTAGAACAAAGCACACTAATTAATGAAACTTACACCCATATGAAAAACGCATTGCCCAACGCAAAAAGTATACAAACTTTTTTCGGTTACATATACGCAGAACGGAATCTCTGACATGGAATGTTTTACAAGCACTCTAAACCTTTATTATAGTTTACTCTGTAAACTTCATATTCAGTCATGTTCAAGGGAAATATTAAGGCAGAACACATCTCTCTCAACCATGGAACGACTTACAAAGCACTACACACTATTGTCATCATCAACTCTGCATGGATTATATAATTTCATGTCTAAGCCTTAATCAACCTCTAACCATCTGTTCAATATATGAGCATAACAATTAATGTCACTTACACTAATGTGGTAACATCGTCAACCAATGCAAAATGACCTACATCTGATATTCTATAACTCCTACCATCTTCTATTAACACAATATACAATAATTGATATTAATTCACTTCACTACGAGACAAAAATCTATTGGAAACATGCCTATTATATAAGTGACATTCCCTGCATAAGTCATATACACCAGAACTTCCTAACTCTGACTCTAACCTAAAACAATGGGTGAGATTCAGGAATTCACCGAAATAGAGTTCCTTAATACCCTTCGCCGTTGGAAGATGCGAGGAGTGTCGTTTATACGCATATGTTGTGGTCCCTTGGTGGTTTTAGTTACACGCAACCCAAAATCATCAAATACAAAAACAATACATGAATCTAATGGAGGTCGTGTTCGTGTTGGGTCTAAAAGATGGTATGAATCCCGGTACATGTTGCTTCGCTGCTTGTATGGATTAATTCAAACTGAAGGATTGTTCTGTCGTGATTTTGAGGCATCAAAGACCTATGACGTACGAAGCTTGTACCTATATAGGAGTATTGTTAGGGCACATGAAGCAGACATACGAGTTTAAATTCTATGGACAAACGATCAACTGATGACAATTATGGATGTGGAAGAGCATACATATATGAATATTATTCCGATTGTGACGAGGAGGAGGAAAAAGACGGTACATACTTATTACCGATGGGTCTCACCTCCCTCTGATGACTCTGGTTCAATAGCAGAGAACAGAACCACTGAAATTCAATCAAACACATATCCGACCAACTTACCTTCCTTACTCAATTTCGAGCCAGAGCTAGGTATTGTTATCAGCGACGATGACCAGAGTTAGTCACTTGGTTGGAGTACTTAAGTTAGGTCTTCAATCTATTTCTACTCAAAATCCAGTTGTTTAATAGTTCTTCATTATCCATATAAGTTTCAGTCTGCTTAATTAAGCCGCGGTTTTGAACCCACTATCATTAGTGGGCTCGGTCCACTACTTATCCTTTGCTCTTACGTGTCTTAAGTGTTGTATGCGTCCTTTCATATAAGTCAAGATCATCGTTCCATCATACTTTGATCTCAAATCATTATCCTATACTTCAAACTCATAATACTGTCCAACTAAATGAGGATCCTCCGCCCATTATAGAGAATACATGTTAATATAATATTTAAATGTTAAGTTCAAAGTCATTATCCTCCTGGACATGTAGAAAGACTTCAAAAACCCACAGACATCTGTGAAACAAACTAACTGACTATCCATGGAAAAAACCCAGTCAAAAAGCTGTTATTGCTTTTATATCTTACCATATAATTCAAACACCTAAGACATTAGGCATGGAAGCTCTTGAACAGGACGCAAAACAAAGCAATAGTCAGGCAACCGTGAGTCCGAATCCTCTGTTAAAAGTGTTCGCTTAGCAAAACAAAGGTGGTACAACTTATGAACACCTTCACCACCACTCCTAACTCGAAACCGACTGAGTTTGTAGCACTGACCTTCTGAGAGGCGCCATAGATTCTGTTAAATCTCTTCATCCCCCATTAGCCTTCCCACAATCCTATCACCCTTAAACAGAAGTAAACAAAAGAAAAACACACTATCAAAACTTAACACGCAACTATACATCATAGAGCACAAGCCATACATCCTTAATAAACATCATATATGAGATAACCTCTGACAGTGGCCTCATGTAGTGGTAAGTGGCATGAGTCTCGGACCAAAACCCCATTTTCATCACCAAGCCGCACTTCTTATACAACCATGTTCCTACCACAATGCTATGTCAGTCTGCCTTCGTTTCAGCTTGAACGGTACCAAGGTTTCTTATTGAGTGGAACTAATAGAAGCTTGGATGCATTCCTTATATGAGAACACCTTTTAGGCTTCGCCATTGCATGGAGGGAAAAATTTGAAAATTCAAAACATCTGATAATGACATGACACCCTTATCTGCTTACATCATGTTTTATATTCTAATCTTACTCAGCTTCCTACAAGCCATGTGAAGCTTTTTTTTTTTTTTGGGACATAAGCCGTGCACATCGTTTCTGTGAGAGAAGCCGCCTTGAAGCCGGTGTACGCGTTCGGCTTACTGGAAGAGATTTGGTAGATATATTGATTTATTTTTTTCTTAAAAATGAAAGGAACATTTATGTGTGTAAATTGTACATGTTTAGCCAACAACATCTTGCATCTTCAGCTATATGCATATGCAAGTTTTTTTCACCTTAGATTTTTGCACATAGTTAAAAGATAAGTTATATAAAGCTAGAAGAGAGTTTTACTTGTTTTTCAATAAAATTTTAGAACAAATGCTTTTAAGCAATCTTTTTTCCTTTATGTTTTTTATTTCTAATTTATCCTATATCTAACTATTATAATCCTGTGAGAGAATTTTTTTTTTAAATTTTATTTATAAATCACTTCATTTTGATTTAACTATAGTATACCTTGCAATGTAATGCAGTGAAGTGCAATGGAAATATAATGTAATATTAATTACAAGGTTTGGCATGTTGTTTAAGAGGGGTGCAATGAGTTATTTTTTTAATAATTATCTAAAATTAATATATAGTAAAAGTACCAGTTTACTTTTAGTAATAATTCAAACCCTCACATGTTCAGAAAAGCTTCTTCAAGATTGCAACCCCGTCGGCTCCATCATTCCTCTCTCAGTGGAGGACAATTTTCTAATAGAATTAATGGTTTGTCCTTG